AAAAAAAAAAATTACTATAGGCATGACTGATATAACATAGTACTGATGACAGGAAGAACACTCATTCCAGCCTTTGCTTAGAAAGCAAATCCTGCAAGGCAGCAGAACATGGAACAGGTTGCACTGGGTTACATGTTACCAGTAGCAGGATGATCATGAAGACCATACTTCTGACCTGACTACAAATTTACCTCTTTTACCATAAAAGCTCAACCCTAATAAAGAAGATTAGAAAACGAAAATTAAACATTAAAATGACGAGAAAATGAAAATGAAACATGAAGGAGATAAAGAAACAAAAATTAAACTTTTTGTTTAAAAATTTGAGACGGGAATAAGCGGGATTTGTGTAATTGAAAGAATATAGGTAACAATTTAAAGAATTAATGAAAACTTTTTTTAATATTTATTCGCACCAAAATAATAATAATTAACCTAGCTTATTACAAAAAATAGCAATGAGTAATAATCTATCTGTGTTCTGTCTGAACCTCTGGCGCGGTGTTCGCTCACCCGTAAGTTACTTTATGTTTTTTATGTATGTTTGTGTTCTGTCTGAACCTCTAGCGCGGTGTTGACTCACCCGTAAGTTGATTTATGTTTGTTTGTGTTCTGTTTATACTCTAATTCAGCGTGAGCTCAGTAACTAACTACTTACTCCAACTACAAAACCTACACTCACCTTAGACTCCTGTATTTTGTTAGATGCAGTGTTTTTCCTAATGCATTTCCAAAATGTCATGCCTGGTTTTCTCAAAGTACTGTTGCGGGAAGTAGATCCTTTTAACTACTCCAGGTCAGGTCAGAATAATCAAGATCAATCTTGCTACTGGTATCACGTAACCCAGTACCACCTGCCACAAGCTCTGTTGCCTTGCAGAGTGAGCTCTTCTTAGGCAAAGGCAAGGAGAAATAAACTCCGACTAAAAATTCCCCTGCCTTGGGGCTCTTGGTTGAAAAAAGAATAGAGATGGTGTCTCGATAAAAATACTCATCTTGGGCAGATATTAACTGCATCCAGCTACTGTAAAAGGCCTCCTAGGCAAAGACTTTAAGGGTAAGCAGAGAAATTCTGCTAACCAGCCTCGAACCCCTTCTTCATCTATTAGGCTGGCGTAGATGTAACCTGTGTTACATTGTTTCCTGCCTAGGATGATGAATGCTGGATCTCCTTGACTTTACTTATAGAATTTTGCTTATGCCTCCTTAATAATGGCTATGCAACTCTTCCTGTTATCTCCATATGAGGGTACAGCTCTAAAACACAGTTTAATGGTTCTGAGGCCGGCTGGTAGTAAGGTTTCCCGAACTCTGTGGTTGCACTCAGAGAGGCTGATTACATCAACAGCTGCAAAATATCAGAGTATTAACAGTGCCATGTTGCGCATGGATGGTGTCCCTGTTAATGCTTTTGGTGTGGATTGTCAAGGCCACATAAGGAGCCCTATGTCACGGCTAAGAGTTAATTAACAGGACTGAATTAACTGCATAGCTCATTGATTAAGAGGCTGTGCTCAATCTATGAATGAGTCAAGTTCTCATTAAACCCAAATCATGGCCAAAGTAACCAAAAATTTAAAACCTAAAAAACCATCCCCACCACCTAAATACTTTAAAATATCTTTTACAAATATTCGCAGTCAACGAAGCAACTTTCCACCAGTTGAGTCTTACCTCCTGCAAAATTCACCAGACTTGCTTGCACTCAGTGAAACAAATTGTAATTCTGCAATTCCTTCTTCAGATGTCAGTGTTGATGGGTACTATCCTTTGATTCGTAAAAACTCCAATAATCACATGCTAGGTTTGGGGGTATTCATACGCATTAATTCCCCTATTTGTCGTGAAATCAGGTTCGAATCCTTTGACCATTCTTTTATGTGCTTTCGCCTAGCAACTCTTCACTCTATCATCTTTCTCTTAGTTCTTTATCGTTATCCTTCTTCCCATGATTGCACTCTTTTAGATGTTATCTCTGATGAAATTGACCATGCCCTCTTTCTTTACCCCTCTGCCAATATTGTTGTTGTTGGTGATTTTAATGCCCATCACACTGAATGGCTTGGCTCTAACACCACTGATCCTGCTGGCACTAAAGCCTTTAACTTCTGCGTTTCTCAATCTCTTACTCAGATAGTTAACTTTGTGACTCGTTTTTCTGACAACCCTAATCATTTACCTTCAATCCTTGACTTATGTCTTGTCTCTGACCTTAGCTTATGTTCAGTTTTTCCCTTTTCTCCCTTAGGTGGACCTGACCATGCAATGATCTCTATAAATCTTTCCTCTCGTACTTCTTTTTTGGGCTCACCTTATCATCGCACCACCTACTACTACCCTAAAGCTGATTGGGATTCATTTCGTGATTTTCTTCGTGATGGTCCTTGGGCTGATGTTTTTTCTCTCTCAGCTGACAAATGCGCCTCCTACGTAACCTCCTGATTCAGGCTGGAATGGAAGCTTTTATTCCTTCTCGTCGGTTTCAAGTCAAGCCTCATTCTACTCCATGGTTTTCTCCTTCTTGTGCGGCTGCTATATCCAATTGTAATCATTTTTTCATCTTTTTCAAAACAACAACTCTCTTGAGAACAAACGGCTATTTGTTATTGCAAGAAACCGATGTAAAAAGGTGCTTTCTGATGCTAAACTCCATTATTCTCAGTTCTCTAAATCTCGCATCTTATCGCAGAAGTTAGGCTCTAAAGACTTTTGGAAAATCTTCAACAGCATTATTAACAAGGGTAGATCTAACATTCCATCTCTTATTCATGGGACTGATCTTATTACCTCTCCCAAGGATAAGGCAGAACTATTTGCAAAGAATTTTTCTTCTAATTCCACTCTTGAATCTTATGGACATTCTCTTCCTTCCATTCCAGTCAAACAGGTTGACCCATTGTTAGACATTCAAATCACTCCGGCTTCTGTTGCTAAAGTCATATCTCAATGAAACTCGTCTACAGCTTGTGGTCCAGACAACATTCCTGTCACAGTCTTGCAGAATTGTTATGCAGAACTTTCTTCAATTCTCTCTAAACTATTTAACAAGTGTTAGACTGAGTCTTGTTTTCCTGCTTGCTGGAAAATGGCATCTGTGGTTCCAATATTCAAAAACTCTGGAAAAAATTCTGACCCCTCCAATTATCGTCCGATCAGTCTTCTTTCTGTTGTTAGCAAGGTCTTTGAGTCTTTGATCAACAAATTCCTCACATCTCATCTTGAGTCAAATAAACTACTGTCAGACAACCATAACGGTTTTCGATTCTCTCGCTCTACGGCCGACTTGCTAACTGCTGTAACTGAAAGATTTTATCGTGCATTCGATGGAGGCGGTGAAGCTAGGGCTATTGCTCTCGACATATCTAAAGCTTTCGACAAAGTTTGGCATGCTGGTCTTCTTTATAAGCTTGCTTCATATGGTGTTTCTGGGAAAGTTTTTGAGATTATCAAATCATTTCTTTCTAACCGGTTTATTAAAGTCATCCTTGAAGGCCAACACTCTTCTTTCTTTCCAGTAACTTCTGGGGTTCCCCAAGGTTCCATCCTGGGCCCTGTTTTGTTTCTTATCTACGTAAACGATCTTCTGACAACCTTTCATCTAAAAAAGCTCTTTTTGCTGATGACTCAACTTTATACTTCTGTCTTGACAAAAAGTCTTCTCTTTTCGATCGCCTAGAACAAGCAGCTGATCTTGAATCCAATCTCACTTCACTAATAGATTGGGGTTCACAGTGGCTTGTGAATTTCAACTCTAACAAAAACCAGTTGTTTACTGCAAACAACTACCATAATATGGTCAACATTCCTATATTAATGAATGGCAATCCTCTTACTGAGTCCTCCTCTTTACGTCTTCTTGGATTATCGCTTACTACTGACCTTTCATGGAAACCATATATACAATCAATTGATAAATTAGTTTCTGCTAAGGTTGCTTCTCTTTATCGTGCTTGCCATTTCCTTACTTCTGATTCCATTCTCTACCTCTACAAATCTCTTATTCGTCCCTGTATGGAATACTGTTGTCATATTTGGGCTGGTTCTTCTAACGATTCACTTTCTCTTCTTGACAAGGTCCAAAAACGCATTGTAGATGTTGTTGGACCTGGACTATCTGCTAAGCCTGAATCTCTTTCCCATCGTCGTAAAGTTGCATCTCTTTCTCTCTTCTACAAATACTATCATGGTCACTGCTCAAGAGTGTTATCATCTCTAGTTCCATCAACTAAAATTCATTCTCGTTTTACTCGTCATTCAGCTAAGTCTCATTCGTTTACTGTATCTGTCCCTGCATGCTCCAAAAACTTTTATTCATCTAGTTTTTTTCCACGCATTTCAATCCTTTGGAACTCTCTCTCATCTTCATGTTTTCCTGACTCATACAACCTTCAACTTTTCAAGTCTTCTGTCAATCGTTTCGTTGCTCTATAACTCTGTTCTTTTTTTTCCTAGTAACTCCTAACTTAATAGTGGTTGCTTGCAGCCTTGTTGGGAGTGAATGCAAATAAAAAAAAATATATATCGTATCATGTAAATAAAAAGTGAGTGGCTGAGACCTTAAATCGTCAAAAATAAATATTAAATATTTAAATATGTCCACCATTTTATGTAAATGCCATTTTTAATAAAATAGATATTTATATTTTCGTACTTTTAAATTAAAATATATTTTTTTCTAAATTACACTTATAAAAGTTTGCGGAGTAGTAACAGTGGCGGATTGAGGTTTAATGTCGCGGGAGGGGGGAAGGGGGGTAAGTCAATGAATAGGGGCGACCCTATAGACGACCCTGTCTTCAGTAATTTGATCTTATAATTTTTTTTTTATTTCGATTGTTTTAGGTATACTAAATCCGCCACTGAGTAAGTAATATATGGGCGGGGGTGAATTGTTTGAATTTTTTTTGCCTAGGACGTCAAAACCCTAGCGCCGGCCCTAGTAAGATGTGTCTTGTTTTGTAGTGAATGAATAATACGATACTAATATTAATAATCATTTTTTAATGATAGGCACAATCTTGTAGCAACCAGGACATTTGCGGATAGAACGCATGAGAGGTGCTTAAAAATGTCGTACCACTTGCGGTTTGGTTATCCTATGCAAAATGAGTTATCCCAGGTCGCTTTATATTTTCAATGCTGTACGTTTTAGCATTTTTTCTATCTTATTTGTCAATTAAACCTTACTTGCATCAAATACGATTTATAGTGCAAATAACTATTCCGTATATCTGTATATTCCTGTATCTTTTATCTAGTAAAGACGTAATAAACGTATGTAAAAAAAAAAAAAAAAACTCAAAGTTTTATTTCAATTTTAAATATTTTGAATCCCCCGATTGGGGAGATTAATATCGTGAAAATTTTATATCAAAGAAATCTATTCATTTGGCCAAAATGAATAGATTTTGATACTTTAATAAATCTCCCAAATTATTTAATTTTTTCCATATTTAAATAAGTTTTTTTTTATGCATTGTAATACACGATCTGAAATGACTTTATTTTTTTGCTAGTAGCACCTAATATAGTACATATTATATAGTATACCCTGACCAACTAGTACATACAAAATAGCTCACATTATACAAGCTATCGAATTTATATTCTTTTATATATTAAGAATGGCCCCATTATACATCCTAAAAAAAAGAATTTTTCAGTCAAGTTTGTCTTACTCTAAACATCACTTTTCACAAAACTTTAGGAGTGTAATATAATACCACCTGAGTATTATATTATAATATTACAATTTTAATGTTGCTGTTTTAGTAAGTGCTGTTTATTATCATTACATGTATAGTATGTATAGTATGTATGTATGTATGTATGTATGTATGTATGTATGTATGTATGTATGTATGTATGTATGTATGTATGTATGTATGTATGTATGTATGTATGTATGTATGTATAGTAAGTCTATATAAACTAAATATTTTAACATATCCATAGCTAAAAAGGTTTAGCTTACAAAGCTTCTTAAAAAAGATAAATAAGCTTTTCATAATCGTAATCAAAGTCACATATAATTTAAAAAGCCAGGTGCTCCTGTTTATTTTATTTCTAATTTATTTTTTCTTTAACCTCAGTTAATACTGGAGTGTGGTTTTGCAAAAATATTGTACTTACATTCTGTAAAGTTCAAAAAATAAAATTTCTAGATTGAAGTATATTTTTTGCTATTTTTTTTTATTCTTTAACTTTTGAGTTCAGAGCAAAATGGTTAAATGATATGGCAACCAATACCATTGAACAAATAAAAATTGAACGTTTTGGTTATTTTTTACTTATGACACTGGTTGTTTTGATATTTGCTATTGTGGTTTGTATATCGTCAAAGAAAAAAAAAAGGTAGGCTATTTATTGTTTTTACTTGTAGCTTTAAATTGAAAGTTAATAATTTTTTTGTTTATGGAAACTAAACTACCCAAATATTAGACATAATATAGACACAAAAATTAAACGCAATATTTAGTTTTGTTTTTTATAAGACTATACAAGCATAGTAGATTTATGAAAAGTGTTCTGCTGATAAAAATTTTACACAAAAAACTACAAGTAAAAAATCAATTTTATTTCTTTGTCTTTATCTGATATAATACAAATAATATAAAAAGAAAAAAATCAAAAAAATTATAGGTGTTGGACATATGTCCTCCTTGATATTATTAAAAATTATAAAAATAGATCAAAGCGTCAATAACTAAAAAGATTTTCCATGCATTGTTGGTCTTATTAATGAATTCACACAAATAAAAATAGTTTCCAAAAAGCGTTTTATTGAGAAATGATATAAAAGAGGCTATAACATTTGTATAACATTGTGGTTTTATGTCTATGGTTGTCATTCTCCTTCATTTTTGAAGGAAAGTACGGCACTAAACTAATTAAAATTATAATTTTCACTTTGTTCTCCTTTAGAAAAAAATAAAAAAATTTATATGTGTTGGACGTATATCCTCCTTGATATTATTAAAAATTATAAAAATTGATCAAAGCGTCAATAACTAAAAAGATTTTTCATGCATTGTTGGTCTTATTGCTAGTTTAAAATGAATTCACGCAAATAAAAACAGTTTCCAAAAAAAGTTTCTTTGAGAAATGGTATAAAATGTATGCGGTAGTGGTGTAGTGGTAGAGCGCTCGCTTCATAAACGAGTGGTTCCGAGTTCGATCCCCACCACGTCCCTGGTAGTACCGCGCTCAACTCGTTTCTCCGCGCAGCGGCCTTGCTCGTCAAGGTTCGTGTTTCGGAGTTATAGAGTTGAGAGAGGGTTATAACCACAAATAAGTAGCCTCCTCGTCTGTAGTGGCCTTCTCGGCCTTGATGAGGTGAATTAAAATAAAAAAAAAAAAAAAGAGGCTATATCATTTGTATAACATTGCAGTTTTATGTCTAGGGTTGTCATTCTCCAATTATAAATTTCACTTTAAAATTATAAATTTCACTTTGTTTTTTCCTACAGAAAAAAAGGAGAATAGTAATCTTATTTAACGATAGAGATACTCCGTTAGAGACTGATAAAACTGACTATAAAGAAAACTAATACATCGTATCCATAGAGATAGTTTGTTAGTGAATGACAGTTATACACAGATTTATCTTTCCGATAGAGAACAGATAGTCCATTAGTGAATGACAGTTATACACAGATTTATAAAAGAGAGTGGATCTTCCTACTCAACAAATATCAGAAAATCAACTTTTACTATAATGTTACAACAAAAGCATTTTTCATTAATATTTATTGGTTATTAATGAAATTTTTATTTTTTTTAAAGTCTCTTCTGATGTATTGGCTGAGATATTGAAGGTTTTAGATGCAAGTGTTTGGTGGGCCTCAAATCTTTGCAATGCTATTGTTTACAAAAGCAAATTTCCAAGCAACTAAAAGAAAATATAGATAGTAATAATTAATACAGGAGGCAGAGATGCACTAGAAAGTGGTTCATGTGGACTTTTATGACAACATCTTTGTTAAATGTTGACTTTTACCAGGACTGTATTTATATGCCTAGCTTTCACCGAAAGTTGTGCTATCGCACATATTTATATGACCAGGCAAATTACATTTTGCTATGACGATTTGACCGCAGCTATTTTAAAAACATTTTAAAAACGCACCAAATGAAAAATATTTTGAAAAACAGGCTTGGTCAGGAAGCAGGTGCCATTGCACTCCATAATTGACCACAGAAATAATATTTAGTTAAGAAAAACCGGACAGATTTTTTAGTCGTTTTGAGAACATTTCAAAACAAATAAAAAAGCGCAATAAGATTAACTAGACCAATGAGAGACAATTAAAAAAAGAAAAATAACTTTTAACGCAATAAAACTTTAAGCAAAATAAATACATTTAGAGCAAATATTTTTGAAATGTCGATCTTTTATAATTTTTTTATAAAATTAAGCAACATTTTTAATATAAAGTAACAATTTACTATTAATGAAGGAAACAAATGTTCTTTGATTTATCAAAGAGTATATATAATTTTTATTTATATACTTATTTCTTATTTCCAGTGCTGGATTAAGGTGGTGGTGGTGGTAGGGGGGGTAGAAGGGCTATAGCTTCAAGACTCACAATTCCGCAAAATAGTCAAGAGGACCTTTCAGTATTTTTTTAGTTATTCTTTTGCTGTGGCACATAAAAAAGGCCACCAAAATAAAATAGCCCCCGGCCCAAAAAGTTTAACAAGATTCAACCAATAAAACTAATGCTAGATGATTTATTTATAAATAAAAAAGTTTTTTCAATAACTGTTTTATGCTTTGCATAACTTCGTGAAACAACATTGTCTTATGTTGAATATAGCTCCTTAACTTGTAGTTTTGTTAAGCTCTCTCCTTATGGGATGCATCATCGATGTTTGCGTAGTGCTTGCCCACTATGCTTCTGTACAGCAAAAATTCAAAGCAAATTGCTTTAAAACAGTTTTCTAGTTTTATTGCTAAGATTTGGTCCCATAAAATCAAAAAATTACTGAAGAGTCCTAGAGGACAAAACAATATTGTTTGATGTTACTCTCGAGTCCACTATGCAAGAAAGAGGGGGGGGGGGGTTGAAATAAAAGGGTGAGTGAGAATTTTATTCCAGATCTAATAAAGGGTATTAATAAAGGGAGGGGGGTGGAATTTACACTGAAAGTTTCAATATTTATCAGTCACTAGTATATATTTTTTAATTCCTTAAGCTGATTTTCACTTAACAATTTTTTTATAAGATATTTTTTGTTGATAACAAGTAAAAATTATTAAATAGGGGTCTTAATAAGTTTAGGGTGGGTGGGAAAATTTTCTAAAAATTAGTTAATAAACCCCTCCCCTTCTATTAAGGACTCAAGATTATATGTATATATATATATATATATATATATATATATATATATATATATATATATATATATATATATATATATATATATATATATATATATTATATTATTTATTATAACTACTGCACTTAGATATTATTTTACTCCTTTAATTTAATAAGTTTGGATTAGAGCATAGAATTTCATATTTCTCATTTATATATATATATATATATATATATATATATATATATATATATATATATATATATATATATATATATATATATATATATATATATATATATATATATATATATATATAAATGAGAGAATTATAAAAACTTATAATATATAAGTTTTTATTGAAAACACAGTTATTATTGAAAGTATTTTTGTTTGCAAAATCAATTGCACAAATTGCTTTAAAAGATTACATTTGAATAAAATACACATACATAAAATTACATACATAAAATTACATACATAAAAAATACATACATAAAAATACATTACATACATACAAATACATTACATACATTACTAAATATACATTACTAAATAAAAAATACATCCCTTTTATATTAAAAATAAGAATATACTAATAAAATTTATAATATATTTACAAACATTGACAAGTTAAAAAATATAAATTTAAAACATTTATTTTTGTAAACAAATGATGTTAGTTTGAAACATTTATAGCTTTGTAGATGTGGCTCCAAGAATGAGCTATAGTATTAAGATAATAGTTAGTTTGATATTATATTCTTAAAACAATTTATGCTAGAAATCTCAACGAAAACATAAGAAAACTCAAATAATACAATTTTTAAAAACATTTCAACAGAATATTCGAGAACATTCGGTTAGTATTTTTTGAATACTCTAGAAATTTCGGTTAGTATTTTTTGAATCAATAGAATTAGTTTGTTCATATATAATATTTTTGTGTTCGCAAATATTATTTTTTATTTTTCAGTACAAAGATGTTTGAGAACATTCAAGTTTATATATGGTTTCAAGTATGTCCGTAAAACGAAATTTTTAAAAATTCGTGATAAAATCATGTAATTTATAATCATTTTGCGGACAAACATGGAAACATACATAAACTTAAATGTTCTCAAAATGACTAAAAAATCTGGCCGGTTCTTTGCAACTAAATATTATTTCCGTGGTCAATTATCAAGTGTAGTTGCACCTGCTTCCCTACCAAGCCTGAAAAATTGAAATAAATTACATCAAAACTTCCTAACAAATGTTTTTATATTAGCAAAATGCTTTTAAATAAAGTAACAATTTACTGATGTTTTTTTTTTTTTAATATAATTGACAGTTGTATATATTTTTTTAATTTATAATATATAAATTGCTTATGTGTGGATTTCTATAGTAAAGGTTATTAAAATATAGAAAATTGTTTTGTTTTTATAAATGATCATATTCTATGACAAGGAAAGTCTCTTTAACATATTTTAATATAAGAATAATAAAAGTTGATACGTTTAAAAAATAAAACAAAATTTTGTTGAAAAAAAAAGGCAAATGTTTTTGAAAACCGTTACAACTAAATAAGTTTGATCTTAAATGCTTTTATATTATCGAAATGCTTTTCAATGAAGTAACAAAACACTTCTAATAAGTGTTTAAAATAAGTACTATGTACTATGTATTATGTATTTTTTATGAGAAATGTTTATCTTTTGAAACGTATTAAATAAAAAAAACAAAGTACAAATGTTAAAACAAAGAATGAAATGGTTTTTTAATGCGTAAGTTAAATTTTAGTTTGATAAGTTTTGTTTTAGTTGTGTTATTTTTTTAGTTTATTTTCTAATTTGTTAAGTTTTTTGTGTCTTTTTTAAAGTTTTTTTTTAGATAAGTTGAGGTAAGTTTTTTTGTAGTGCATTTTTTAATTTTGAAAATATGTCAAAAGCCGTGTTCAAATTGTCAAAACAAATTATTTTTTGCCTGGTAATATAAAGACGTGTGATTGCATGTCTTCCTGTGAAAGACTGTATGCTGTATAT